AGCATAAAATTGTACAATTGGACATTAAATGCTAAAAATGCAAAAGATGCCTATTTTTTGTAATTTTCAATTTTTGTAAAACAAACTTAATTACTAACAATTGTATAATTAAATCCTACATGCAAAATGTGACATATTTTTGTATTTTTTATTAATTTAACAAATAAACATGCACAGACAAATACAAATAATTATCCAAAAATGTCACAAAATTCTCAAAATTGCACACCAAGGAAAATCATTTTATTTTGAATTTTTTGGGAGTAATTCTCATATAGGGCAAAAATCACGTGCTTACAGATACTCGTCACCATGCCTATACGCCGTACTCAACAATTATCACATAGCAAATAGGACTCTACTCCTAATCCCTCAAGTTAAGGTTAGACCAAACACTTACCTCGAACTTCCACGACTAACTCAAGCCTCAAACACCACTTTTCCCTTTAGAATTTTGCTCCAATTCAATTGTATCTAGACATAATCGACTTAATAACATCAATAAACGCTAAACAATTCAATTCCAATGCTTAATTATAGATCCCCTATCATTCTTCCCAAAAAGTCAAAAATAGACCCCGGGCCCGCTTGGTCAAAACACGAGGTTCGAACCAAAACCCGATCACCTATTCACTTACGAGCCCGAATATATAATTTATTTTGAAATCTGACCCCAAAACGAGGTCAAATTCCCAAATAATCAAAAAGTCCTAATTCTACCCAAATCCCTAATTTTCTGCCCTTAATCTCATATTTTAGGCTTAGAAATCTAGTGGGTGTTGATAAAAATGGAAGAAAACGAGCTTAGGATTACATATCTATGAAGCTATGGTGAAGTTTCTCTTCAAAAATCGCCCAAGGGGTGTGGAGAAGATGAAGTTTATGAAAAATGGTGAAATTCCCGTAATGTATTATGTTTTTGAACTTAAAATAACTGGGCGAATTTGGTCTATGCGATCGCGAAGAAAAGAATGCGATCACATAGGGGTAAAGGAGATTGGTCACTGCGATCGCACACAATGCTATGCCATCGCATAGAAGAAATTGATTACCTTCCCGGGTTGGGGCTAACACATTGCGATCGCGGAGGAAACAGTGTAATCACATAGAACAAAAAATGGACCTCTCAGATCTTACTCTACGCGATCGCGGAAGGAGCTATGCGATCACATAGCACAAAATAGAACCCCTAAAATTTACATTATGCGATCGCGAACTTCCCTATGCGATCGCATAGCACAAACACTTGGACACCTCCAGAAGACATCAGATTCTGCAACTTTCCTAAGTCCAAAAACACTCTGACGCCTATTCGAAATCCACCCGTGCCCTAGGGGCTCCAAACCAAATATACACACAACCTCAAAAATATCCTACGGACTTATTTGTGTACTCAAATCACCAAAATTACATCATGAACATCGAATTAAACCTCAAGATCAATAAAATTTCTCAAAACTTCTTTAAACATCAAATTTTGCATTTAAGGTCTGAATCACGTCAAACGGATTCCGTTTCTTATCAAACTTCACAGAATTGTCTTAAATCACATATAAGACCTGTACCGGGTGCCGGAACCAAAATACAGGCCCGATACCAATATGTTCTAATCAAAATTCATTTTCAAATCCTTTAAACAATTTCAGAAAACAATTTTCTTTAAAAATTCATCTCTCGGGCTTGGGACCTCGGAACTCGATTCCGGGCATACGCCCAAGTCCCATATCTTCCTACGGACCCTCCGGACAGTCAAATCACGGGTCTGGATCCGTTTACCCAAAATATTAACCGAAGTCAAATTAATTCATTTTATAGTCAAAATTTATCATTTTTCACAGATTTTCACATATAGGCTTTCCGGCTACGCGCCCGGACTATGCACGCAAATTAAGGTGATGCTAAAAGAGGGTTTTAAGGCATCAGAACGTAGAATTTGTTTTAAAAATAAGTGATGAAAGGTCATCACAAAAGCTCGTCGGAGATGACGTTTTCTGGGCAAGCATAATACTGTATACATTATATTAAAACTAAAAATGGAGACGAACAAAAACCCGGTCCTCAAATCTTCTCTATAGCATGACCAGATCTGTTTGCCTAAGAGGATGAGCCAATAGTGGATGATGACACTAACGACCATGATGATGACGTCGACTATTCTGCTAATTTGAGGGAGAAGAGAGAGGATTGAGAATCTTGCTGATAGAGAGAAGGAAAAGAGAGAGAACATAATTAGCGTAATTCATCCCTAAATGGTAGGTATAAATAAATCTATTTTGTTATAAAATAGAAAAGGTAGCAATAAATAATAATATTTTGAAATTATTTTGGTTTATAATAAATAGGATGTAATAATTTGCTATAGGAGGTAAAATTTCTTTAAAAAAATACTTACATTCAGGCCATTTATTAAGTAAATATAGATACATATATTGATAAGTATTATACTTACTTTTTTGGTAAAAATGATAACTTATCTACTAGTATAGGTTAAAAATTACTAATAATAATAGTAATAAAAAATCATTACAATATCAGTCTATGTAACTTAAATCATATCTGTTTTAGTCCGTTTCAAAAAATAATAATATATTTAAAAAGTTTAACTTCAAGTTTCTTGTTTTGTTCTTTTATATATATATATAATACAATCTTACCAAGGATTTTTCTTTTTTTCTTTTTTGCTTCTCTTTCCTTCTATTGTCTTCTTTTGTCTTTTTGTCTTTTTGAGCCGAGGGTCTTTTGGAAACAACCTCTCTACTCCTTCGGGGTAGGGGTAAGGTCTGCGTACACACTACCCTCCCCAAACCCCACAAGTGGGATTTCACTGGGTTGTTGTTGTTGTTGTTGTTTCCTTCTATTGACAAGTCATGGGCTGATCTAGTGCAAAGGCTACGACTCACATGAACCTAATAACTTTTGTGTAGACCCTTTATATTTATACAAAATTATTAAAAGTATAAAAATATTTAGCTTAAAACTCAAATCGTTGATTTAATATCATATATATTAACTTGAAATTGTTGTAAGAACTCGTAAGCTTAAATTCTAGATCCACCTCAAGCTAACTTCGTATGACCCTCTCCCAACAGAAAAGGAAAAATAAGAATACATCTCATTCCCACCGTTGGTATCTCCCAATAATGTTCCTACTAATAATTAATAAAGGTGCAAGAAGTCATTTAGAATTATCCACACGACGAATTACCACCGAAAGAGGCGGGAAAGGAAAAAGAAGACGAGAGGAGCGGGTCCAGACATGCATAAAACTCCGGCAATACTAGTAAAGAATTTTTACACCGAGAAGATTGAGATATGGGATATTGTTGATTTACCTCCTGAGAAGAAGACCGTGGGATCAAAGTATAAATAGTGATACAAAGTGAAATTCCAATCAAGTGAAGAATTCGCGAAAAACTCAATACTAGAACATTTATTACTATTTCTCAAAATTGTTTTACATTTCCCGTACAAATACAAAAAAAGAATCCCAAGCTTCTACTAGGAGACCAATATAATAGCTAGCAAAATTTTGACGGAACAAAGTTAATGGATCCGATTAGAGCCACAACCAAAATAAGAAAAGGAAGGAAAATTGAGTCACGTTGGACAAATTGAGTTATCCACTGTTATTTGATATATTTTGACCTGACTCATCTCGATCAAAGTGAGATTTTACTAGGTTGAATCATAATTCGTTTAATCTATTTTGACCCGCCCAAATTTAATTCAACCGGCCCATTCATTTGTCACCTTAGTTGAGAAGAAGATGAAGAAAGGGGAATAGCGAGGTGGGTCGGTTTCTGGTCACCAGCCATGATAACGACGATCTTTGGAGTCATCTCCACACTTGCACTTGTTTTGTGATCACAATATGCAGATTTCTCCTCGTCATCAGTTGCCGTAGAAGACGACCGTTTACGATAGGAACAACCGAGGAAGAGAAGTGCCACGGCAATGAGTGTTAACGTTAATGCTAAACTTCCAAAAAGGTAAGGAAGTGGAGATTTCCAATGCAACAATGAAGTACTACCATTTGTGCCCATAGTACTACCACTGGAGATGGAGGTTGAGTTTGTGGCTATAGCCCTCATGATTAGATAATTTTCTCAGCTCTCTCTCTCAATTTATGTTGAAACTGTGTTATAGCTGAAATAAAAATCTTGAATTGTGTTGGATTTTATAGAGGTGTAGCACCAAACAACTTGCTGCTGTACAAGCACTGTGACAGTGTGACCTATATATGAAATTGCTAAAATGGCACTAGACTCCAAACAGATTCTCCTGTTGCTTTGCAAATTGCACGACAAAATTTTGATTTTGTTTATTAAGTTATGATGTTTCCAGGAAATTAATTCTACATAGTGGTGATTCCCCCCCCTTTTTTTTTAACGCTTTTCAAAAGGTAGATAAACTTTTGAGGGGCATGATTTTATTTAGTACCTTTTCATTGCTAGCTGCTACTGTTGTTTACTATTTTGTTCTTTAAAACCATATAGTTGTGGAAGGAAGGGACGCTTTATTCATAACGTGATTATATTGCAGGACTGGAAGAAAATATTATTGGCACAAAGTGTTTGCCACTAAGGCACTAACTAATACAAAAGTATTAGGGAGGGTGATCAGACAAGATATGACGATATTTCAGATTTCCGAAGACATGACCCTTGATAGTAAGTTGTGAAAGTCGAGTATTAGGATTGTTGGTTAGGACTTAGGAGATAGTTGAGTCTATTTCTACTTGGTACCTATGCGACGCTATTCTAATAGGATTTTTGTCTTAGAATGCTAGTGATTAATATTTTGTTTCACTACTCTTTTGTTTTCATAGTGCCCAAGGGTGTACATAGGAATTTTTGTAAGCGATGTTGAAATTTATAGAAGAACTGGAATATAACTTTGATTATCATACTTTTAAATAAGAAATGACTTTAGTCTATTGGTTTTATTGAGTCTTAAGTTAGAAAAGATCCAGAGTTCAATTCTACTTCATCACAATTTTTAATCACAAATGTCCTCTCAAATATTTGCAAAAGAAAAAAAATGCTAAGTTAAGGTTTGTATCTTTGACCTTTTAGAGCAAAATCAAGCACATAACCAACATACCAAAACACAATTTATGTCAAGTGGTGTCATTTTTCCTACTTATCTATTTCCATACAGTATTAATACATATATTTAGTAAAAGATTTCGAAGAAGTGGTATCGCGTGGCACTACTTTGGTAAGCGTGCATCTGCTTATTAGTGTCGGGTCTTTTAATTGGCTATCACTTTTACATTTCATCTATTTTCTTGTCTATATGATGATGTTATTATTCATATGGTCTCTCTTATATTTGTGGTATTGATATTGTCTTTTCGTTTTCTTGAGTCAATGGTCTTTTGAAAACAATCTCTTTCTGCTTCCTCAGGTAGGGGTAAGGCCGTTGTTGTCGCTGTTGCGCTAACTAATACAAAAGGAGAGAACATGATCATATACTTTCTTTCTTGGACAATGAAGGCCATAAAATTTTTATTGGAGAAAAATAGTTAGTGATGAAAAAAAACGTCATTAGATAGCTATTTTTTTCACGAAGATTTGAGTTTTTTTTTTTTTAAATTAAGAAAAAGGACTTTTCATTAATAAAAAAAAGTGCCTCATTACCATTCTTTATGAAAAAACGTTTTTGAAGTACTTTGTGAGAAATATTTTATTTTGAAAAGATGTGAGCAAGATATGCATAAGTACCCTCCTGACCTATACCCGGATTCCCAATTACACAATTTATTTTTGCGAGAAACCTATTACCCCTCTAAATTTTTTTTTAAATGGAATAACTACCACCCTAAAACTAGACAACTAAACTCTTCGCAGGTGTTGAACTACACGCGCTGCCACATGTATTTTTAGTACTTTTTTTATTCTTTCTTCTTTTTCTTATCCTTTTTTTTTTATTTCTTATTATTTTATTTTATTGGTTTATTTCATTCTCTTTTTGTTTTGGTCACCGGCGGTATAAAATGGTGATCGTCGGAATTTCAAGGACACCATTTTTTTCGGCAATTTTTTTTTTCCGCCGACATATTTTTACCCTGATTTGGGTGTGTTTTGCTTTATATATATATAAATTTTTCTTGAAAGTGTAATATATGTGTGGGAGGAAGAGAAAAAGAAAGAAAAATGAATATAAGCTGAGAAGACTTTGTCCAGTTAAAATTTCAATACCTCAATTTTTTTCGGGGTGGGAAAATTTTTCGATGATGAATTTTTTTCCCCAAATCTGAGTGTATTTTGCTTTGCTTATGAATAGATCATTTTGAGAATTTAATTTGTATGTGAAAAGAATAGAAATAGGAAAAAGAAAAATAGAATAAATGGAAGAAATACGGTTAGACAAAGTCGCCTGTGAATGAATATCTGCCGGAATTAGAGAAGAAACGCAAAAAGAAGGAAAAGAAAAAGACAAAGCGAAAGGAAAATGAAAAGGAAAAGGAAAAGAAAAAGGAAAAGGAAAAGGGATAAAAGGTAAGAAAAATGGTAAAAAAGCAAAAAGAAAAATCTGAAAATTATTTTTTTTTGCTCTCATTCTCCTTGGGAGAGTGAAATACACACACTCTACCATGTCAGCTTTAAGGGTGCAAATAATTCTACTTTAAAATAGTTTAAGGGGGTAATAAAAATCCCGTAAAAATAGAGTGTGTAGTTAAGAATTCAGATATAGGTCAGGGGGGTGCTTATGCATTTTCCCAAAAAAATTTCAAACAGATTTATTATAAGCAAACAGATGTGGTCTAGGGGAATATACCACTTGAAAATAGGGTGTTTTTGTATTTAATAAACCAATGGAATTTTTTTTTGATAATTACTAATAAACAACTAGACTTTGGAGTCTTAAACGCAAAACCAAAAGTATAGAATCGGCAAAGTGTCACGACCTTAAACCCGGACCCGGTCGTGATGACGCTTCTCGTGAAGACAAGGCCAGCTGACACTTCCCATTTCGGTATTTAACAGTTAAACAGTAAGAAACGGCATGAACATGATAAAATAATCCAAAGTTTAAGCATATAACAACATAATTTGCGGAATACAACCCAACACAGCTCGATACCGGGGTGTCACTAGTCATGAACATCTAAACAATCCGGAATACTCAAAGAAATATACAGAGTTTAATACAGTAACTAAGAACATGGAGAATAAGATAGGGAACAAGCTCCGGGCTATGAATGTCGACAGCTACCTAGAGACTCCTCGGATCCGCCTGAGTTGGAAAGATCAGCATTCGGGAGCAGGACCAAATGCGCCTGAATCTGTACACGGGGTGCAGGGAGTAAAGTGAGTACTCTAACTCAGTGAGTAATAATCATAAATAAGGACTGAAAGAAGGAAATCACGTAAAGCACATTTGCAGACTATAATGAAGCAGTAAAACCAGTGAAAGATATGTGAAAGTCATTTAACTCGAATTAAACTTCACGAAAATCTTTTTCAACCATTTAAGCAGGTAAATGATAGGCAATTAAGGAAAATATACACATAAAGATTCGCCCCTCGGGAACAATATCAACAAATCCGCCCCTCGGGCAATGTCTCAGAACAATACTAGCCCCTTGGGCTATATCTCACATCACAATGGGTACCCGCGCTCACTGGAGGTGTGAAAACTCTTGGAGGGTCCCCTTACGGCCCAAGCGCAATATCAGGCCATATTGTGGCATCATCACTAGGCTCTCGGCCTCATATCAATCAAGCCATCTCGTGGCGTACATGTCTTAGGCCCTCGGCCTCAAATCAAACTCAGTGTTTCTTCACAACATAGGCCCTCGGCCTTACTCAGTCAAAAATCCTCACAAGTCACTCGACAGTAGTAAAACAGGATTTCTCAGCCCAATTATCATTTAAAAGATCATATAAGTGTTAAAACATAGTAAACATGGTCGAGTATGACAACAAGAAATATATCATGACCGAGTTCAAGTATAAAGTCAAAAACAGTGAGGAAATATCAATAAAAATCCCCGAAGGGTTCAAATAGTTAGCACGAGGCCCAAATATGACATTCAACCGAAATAATGATGATAGCAATTAGACTTTCAGTCAAATACGCGGTAAAATAGTCGTTCGGGATGGACTAAGTCACAATCCCCCAACAATGCACGACCCCACGCTCGCCATCAAGCGTGTGTGTCACCTCGATATAGCACAACGATGTGCAATCCGGGGTTTCACACCCTCAGGACATCATTTACAACCATTACTCACCTCAACCCGGTCAAATCTCTAGCTCGCGACATCTTTGCCCATTGAATCGGCCTCCACTCGCGTCGAATCTATTCAAAATCAAAATCATGGTGTCAAAATATGCTAAGGGAACGAAGCCCAAACAAAAATAATCAATATACGACACAAATCCCGACCCCCGGGCCCATGTCTCAGAATTCGATAATTTTTACATCAATAGATTCCTTATCTCTCCACGAGTTCATACATATCAAAAGTTCTGAAATCCGACCTCAAATGGTCGGTCTAAGATTCCAAGCCCTAGTTTCCCCAAATTTTGATCCTTAAATTCCATAAATTACAAGCCTAACCCGTGAAATAATACCATAGAAACGAGTTTTAGGTCCAAAATCATTACCTCAATGAAGTTCCCTTGAAATCCCTCTTCAAAATCGTCCAAAAAAGCTCCAAAGCCGACTTAGTGATGGTGAAATAGCTCAAAAATCGCGAAGAACACAATTTATACCTTCTGGCCCAGGCATTTTTGCATTTGTGGCCAATTTACTGCTTCTGCGGTACCGCATTTGCGGTCAACCAACCGCTTCTGCGGTTTTGACTTATGTTCCTCTATTCCGCATCTATGATCCCATAACCGCATCTGCGCCATCGTAGGTGCGGTCCTCCTAACCGCTTCTGCGGTTTCCTGCCTACTTCCCAGCTTCCACTTCTGCGATCATTTTCCTGCATATGCGGCGTCACACCTGTGGTCCCCAATCTGCAGGTGCAGAAATACCAGAAGCAGAAAAATCTGCAACTTTACAAAATTTCAAACTCCTCCGCCAACCATCCGAAATCTCCCCGAGACCACAACCAAAAGCACAAACATCTCC